AATAACTATAAATAGCACTAAAGCCCTAAGTTTTGGTCACACTTGCCTAAATTAACACCTGACCATTATTACACATTGTATGCCGGCATCAAAATATTTCAATACCATATGTGTATACATACACATAATGTACTCATAAAACCTAAATAATAAGAAAAAAACTTACTAAAAGTTTAAACAAAATTATGGGAGAGGCCTTCTCTTAGATGAAACTCACATAGTAGTCTGCAAAAGACCAGATCAGATCAAACCAAAATGAAGTCACTCAAACTAAACATAGCATAATAAAAACTAAAACTTCAAAAAAAAAAAAAAAAGATATATACCAAAACAGACCAGGTGTTTTTTTCTCTCCTGAAAACAGGAGATTCCAACATAAACAGGACTCCTCTACTTCAACCTCTACAAAACAAACAAACAAAAACTGAAGCCTCTATACTCACATGTTCTACTATTTCCCAGTGATATTTGAGACCAACTAAACATACTTAAGACAATGACAGAGTCACTTCAATGCCTAAAGTTTTGGTCACTTCTCAATTTTGAGGGGACTAAAAGGGGAAAATTGTTAAATTAAGTTTAGCCTAAAGCTCCCTCCGTGTAAATTCCACCTGAAAGTTTCTGTATACATAGTGAACTGTATAGAGTTCTCAACAGAGTCTCACTCTGTTGCCCAGGCTGAAGTGCAGTGGCATGGTCTCGGCTCACTGCAACTTCCACCTCCTGGGTTCAACCAATTCTCCTGCCACAGCCTCCTGAGTAGCTGGGACTACAGGCGCCTGCCACCACGCCCAGCTAAATTTTTGTATTTTTAGTAGAGATGGAGTTTCACCACCCAGGATAGTCGTCTTATATTGATCACCGAGTTTCAGCCACAGTGGCCAAATGTTCAAACAAGGCAAATGCCAAGCTATAAGAATTTCAGCTGTTTCTGTATCACACTTCCTTCCATTTTTTTGTACATCGCTTTCCTTTTTCCGTCCATAAATCCTCTTCAACCATGCGGCAGTGACAATCTCTCTGAACCTATTCTGGTTCCGGGGGATGCCTGATTCATGAATCATTCTTTGCTCAATTAAATACTGTTAAATTTAATTTGTCTAAAGTTTTTCTTTTAACACCCTAAAAAATTTATTTCAAGAAAAAAAAATCTTACTTTTTCAATTCTTTGCGCTTTACAAGGACAGCAGTAACAAAGATAACTCAAAAGCTGGCTAGCCCCAAAATAAATCCTACCAGGCTTTGGAGTTGGTACTGTAGAAATGTTTCCAGTTAAGTGAGTTTTCTATTTAAATTTACCAATATTATTAATAGGCTAGCATTGAAATGAAGGTTTTTATTCTCTGAACACACGATTCACAGCTGGACATTAGATGGTGAAATATTAGGAGAAATAAAAATAAAGAAAGAAAGAACAATGAATTGGTTTTTTAACTCTTTGCACTTTTGAAAGTGCTTTCCCATATGTGATCATTGAGTTCTTTTCAGTCTCTTTATTTATCCCATTTCCAGACAGGGAAACTGAGGCTTAAAGACATTAAGAGATGTATCCACTGGCACCCTTAAATACTGCCTCAATATACTTCCATTTACTCACTGATAAAAGGAGGCAATAATAGTACCTATTTTATATGATTGTAGTGAGAATGAAATAAAACAAAAAATGCTAATTTTAATCTTCTGCCCTTCCTCAATCTTCTGCTTTTTCCACAGCCTAATCTACCTCTGGGTTAAAATATGACATCAAAAACACATAAGGCAGATGATACACATGAGGGGAAAAAAGCCAAAGCTATACCCTGTTACTTTAAAATGTACAAACTCAAGTTTAATGAGCGCTCACCACTAAGTACTGTTCGAGCACTTTATATGTATTAATTATTTCATCCTCACTACAACCATATATAGTAGGTACTATTATTACCCCCACTTTATAATAAGTAAATGGAAGTACTTTGAGATAGCTTAAATAGCTTGATAGTTGCTATCAGGCATTAACCTTAACAGGCAGGATTTTTGAAGCCTGCCTACAGTAACAGAGGTGTAGTGAAACAGTAAAATTTCTGAGCATCTCCAGATCTGTACTGTCCAATATGGTAACCCCTAGACACATAAAGCAATTGAACACATGAAATATGGCTAGTGTGGCTGAGGAAATGAATTTTCAATTTTTAAGTAATTTTAATTAATTTTAATTTAGATTTACAGTGAATATTTGATGAAACTACAGTTTTTAAGATACTAGCCATCAGTCAATGAAGGGCAGTGATTCTTCAGAGATGGGATACAAAAGAGATGAGCCCCTGTAATTACCATAGCTTACTGCTCTGAGGGAGTTTCCAGGCTGTAGCACAGGAAGGCAGAACTCAGGCAATCTCCTTGAGTTGGAGGGAAAGCTGAGAGTCAGGTCTCCCAATGGAGTTTGCACTGCTGAATTTCACAACTGTCTGGGACCAATGACTCCTTTCTTCTTTCCATTTCCTCCCTTTGGAACAGAAATATCTATAACCAGTATCCTATGCCTGTCCCACCATTGTATTTTGGAAGCAGATAACCTGTTTTCTAGTTTCACAGGACCACAATAGAGAGAATTCTTTTCCAAAAAAATGGATTAGACCCACTGTCTCACCCATATTTTATTTAGATTACTTAGATAATGAGATGTAGAATTTTTCAGCTAAGATTAGGGGAGATTTCAATCTTTGAGTTGTTGCTATCATGGATTAAGACTTTTTGAGATACTGGGATGGGGTGAATGTATTTTGCACGTGGGACAGACACGAATCTTTGGGATCTAGAGGGCAGACTTCTTGGTAGACAAAATAGTGGCTCCCCAAAAATGTCCAGGTGCTAATTGACAGAATCTATGAATATGTCACCTTAAATGACAGAAGGGATTTGCAGATGTGATTAAGTTACTGGTCTTGAGATGAGAGGGATTATCCTGATTTTTCTAGGTGAGCCCAATACAATCACAGGAGATATAAGAGAAAGACCTTTTCAGTTAAAGTTCCATAAAGATGTTACTCTTCCCACCAAAGCAGCTGAAAATTTCTCAGTTATTGTAGCTTGGCAGACATCCCAGAGACAGTTGCCAAAACAGAGAATACACAGATTAGAGAGTAGAGTACCTACCCAGGGGACCTATACTTGTGGAATGAATGAATAGTAGTAACTAAAGCAAGCAGTTAAACTTTTTATAAGGTACAGAGTACAGAAGAAATTTTAATTCCATTCAAAATGTTTATTAATCACCTACTATGTTTCATGCACAATAGTTGGCCCTGAGGATCTAGGAGTATCTAGTTCAGCAGGACTCCTGCCCTCTTGAAGCTTACAGACCAGGGAGGTTTTCATAGCAACTTTGTTGACAAAGTGTCAGGAGCCTGGTTCAGATCAAGAAAGGTATGGACTCTCAACAGTGACTGAGCAGATCTTGCACAATGCAAAAAGAAAGTGATTCAGTCTAGTCTTTTAACCATACCCAGCTTATATACTTCACCAATTCATTAGTAAGGAGTAAGCGAAAATTAGTATGTCCACAGTCTTGCTATATATCATTACATAATGTCTGTAGATTTCCTATATATCATTAACAAGTCTTAAGTTATCTGCACAGTAAATATGTAAATCTCATTCCATAATGTTGGTTGAGTCATGCTAAAATAATCTTTTTGTTATCATCATAAAAGGCTGTGTTAAAAATAACCTGCCAGATATTTTCATAGAGATATAGCCAGGCTACCGTACTACGGTATCTGATCAGTTCATTTCCCTGTTTAAAACTTTACAAAGACCCCACTTCTTTGAGAGCAAAGTACAAAGCCATTGCCTGACCTTGTACTTAAAACAGGTAACTTAAAACGAATTACAAAAATATTTTGATAGGCATCCCATCTACTGAAATGGACACCAGCCATAAATCATCAGTACACCCAAACCCACACATTGCAGAATATCAGCTCTTCCAACAGTGTCCCATGTAACCTAGCCCCATCTACCCCTCCAGATATTCACCACCCTTCAGCCATGTGAAAGTCTTTTTGTTGGTTTTTGTCTTACCTTTATACATGCCATTTCCTCTGCTCAGAATGCTCTGAGACACCCCACCCCTTCCTCTACCAGGCTTTCTATCCATTTAAGTATCTGTTGACATATCACTTTGCTACAATTTAAATATTTGTGTCCCTCCAAAATTCATATTAAAACTTAATCCCGAGTGCATTAGTATTAAGAGGTAGGGACTTTAGGCAGTGATTAAATCATGAGGTCTTTGCCCTCATAAATGGATTAGTGTCTTTAGAAAGGAAACCAGCTAGTTCTTCTGCCTTTCTATCCCTTCCACCATATGGGGACACAGCATTCCACAGGACACAGTAACAAGGCATCATCTTGGAGGCAGATACAACCAGCCCCGACTAGGTACCAAATTTGCTGATGCCTTGTTCTTGGACTTCACAGGCTCCAAAATTGCGAGAAGCACCATGCTTCTAAGAACCACATCATATTCTCTCTATAAATGCTTGCTGAATGATTTAATGATTTGTAGTCAAGCTTATAATGGGCAGAACTGAGCAAGCTCTACCCCAAAGAGAATGCAGCCATAAGTTTTCCTCCATCCTTATGGCCTATCCCCTAGATGAAAGATGTAAATAAAGGTATAGGTATAAGTACAGGCAAAGATATAGATAACAGCTAGAGAAATATCCTGTCACAATAATATGGCTTTCAAGTATTTTATAAATTCATTCCACTTTAAATCCTCACCAAAATCATCAAGTAAATATTTCATTGACAAACCAAATATTTCACCACCATGACCTCTAATGCCTCCCTCCTACCCTCAGAACAATACCCCCTGCATATCTAAACATTCAGGATAGCAACATAAAAGAAACAGCAAAGGCAATGTCCAGAAAAGCACACATCAGATGAGCACTTCCCCAGACAGACCCTCCTCCCCAGCCTCTGCCACCATGCAAGAAAGGAGGTGCCTTTACCTTGAAATAAAAATGCTTTGCTGGCATTGTGCATTCCAGACACCTGAGCAACTCCAAGGGTGGTGTTCACAAGGTCAAGCTCGGTGACGATATCCATCTGAAGGTCAGGGTCCATCCCAAAGCCCACCACTGGAAAGGAACAAAGAGTTGTTTGGGCTTAAAATGCAGACTGCTAGTAGCATTATGGAGCAGAGGTTACAGGGTCAGGGAGTGGCAGGGAATACAAGGAAGCCAGTGATGAGTGCTTGGAGTCTTTGTCTATGGAGAGAAAAGAAAAGCAAATCTTTGCTCTCTTACCCCGCTAATACCATAGTTTCTTTGTTCCTTCCCCCAACCCCACTCCCCATTACAGATTGATAATCTCTTATCCAAAACCCCTGGGGTTAAATATAGTTCAGAATTCAGACGGTGCCATATGTTAGAAAGGTAATATGGCCTATAGACTATATTCTAGGTAACATTTTTAGCAAAATCTAATTCATCACCTATAATCAAATACAGTATTCCTGAAGCAAAAAACATACTTCTCTAATTGGCATAAATAAAGATTATAAATAGGCTGATACCAGTTTAGATCAAGTCTTGCCATGAAATGAGTTCAATTCAGGATAGGTTTTGCTGTCAGGTAAGTTATAAAGAAACTGGGTTTCCAGGCTTTACAGAAGTGGTGACTGTGGATACAAGATTCTGGTCCTGATCCACCTGCCTCAGAGGCAGCTGCAGTAGCAAAATCTGACACCACCACCACCAGTAAACACCTCCACAAAGTGTTCCCTAATTAATCAGGCATGACCGCCTATGCTAAAGAGGAAGAAAATGGAAAGGAACCCTGTCGCTGCTGAAGAAGGGTGGCAGAGGGACTGGCCAGGAAGGAGAAGCCCTAGAATAATGGATATATATTTCCATCTAAGAGGATTCCTAGATGCCTCTCACCCAGGGGGTGCTCTGAGGAATGATTCATTCATGATTGCAAAGTGATTTCCAACTATAAGTATTAATAAGGCTAGTGAGCACTCTGAGGGACTGTGTTTAAGCCATTCATAAAGGCTGTGTCTATCTACACTTATCATCTCAATAGTGCAATTCTGACTGTGCTGTTGGAAATGTTCTAATCAGCGACAGCTGTCAACTCTCATCTAATGGTCATGCTGTCACTGAGGCAAGATTTGGAGAGCTTGCACCTACTGCGTGAATGTTCACTGGGACATCGTAAGCTATCACAACCTTGCCTGTCCTCCCACCTTAACCCTAGTCCTACAGCCTTGAAGAAGGAAATCTACACTTTCCTTACTCTTTTCCTGTTAGAAAACAGGACCTGGTAGGCTTCTGTCAACAGACAGTTGGTCAGGAAGGCCTCTTTGGAACTGAAACCTGTTATTACCAAGGCAGATAAAGTGTATGTAGCTGCCTTCTCAGTTTCTATCAGGCTTCCCTTTGTCCCCTGAACTGAAGATTTAAGTTTTCCTCTTCCAAATGTAGCCAGTTGTGAAACCAGTTTACCCAAAGACGTCTTCCTTCCATTCACTCTGCATTCATTCAAAATTTTTTCAACAGGTATTACTGAGTGCTTATACAGAGCACACACATTGCTAGGCACTGGCGATGTGCTCATGGAGCATCCCTGCAGGTTAGGTGGGGTAGGACAAGAAATAAACAAATGAATAAGATAATCTGAAATGGCAATGAATGCCATGAAGAAAATAAAATAGAGTAATGGGATAGAAAGCAACTTGGATGGGGCCCTACTTTAGAAAGGAGAGTTGAAAAAGGTTCTTTTGAGCGGAAACTTGAATGACTAGAAAAGGCAAGATGGGAGGAAGCTTTCTACTGTAGAGAAGGATACATGCAAACGGGGAACAAACTGGGAATGTCCCAAGGACAGAAAAAAGGCCAGCATGGCTGAAACTAAATGGGCCAGGGGTAGAGAAGCAGAAAATGAGGCCAACCAGGCATGGTGGCTCACACCTGTAATCTTAACACTTTGGGAGGCTGAGGCAGAACTGTTTGAACTCAGGAGTTTGAGACCAGCCTGGGGAACATAAGGAGACCATGTCTCTACAAAAAATAAAAATCAAAAAATTAGCCGGACATGGTGGCATATACCTATGGTCCCAGCTACTTAGGAGGATCACTTGCACCCACGAAGTAGATGCTGCAGCACCACTGCTCTCCAGCCTGGTGCCAGAATAAAACTCTGTGGAAAAGAAAGGGAAGGGAAGGGAAGGAAAGGGAAGGGGAAGGGGAAGGGGAAGGGGCCAAAGAGAAACAGAGAGAAGGGCCAGATCATGTAAGAACTGTTACCCACAACAAGGAGCTTGGATATTGTTCTGAGATATAATTGGAGGGTTTTGAGGTTTATGTTTAAAGGCGGAAATTAAATTTCAGAGGACCTCTAAGTTGGTGTTTCTCTGGCCAGGAATTTGGAAAGTGGTCCGGCGAATGTGCCCTTCACCAGATGCAAAAAGAAGGAAGCACCCCTGTTGCCCAAGTGCCTTTCACAGGCCTGGACAGATGGCAGAGAGGCTCTGAACTCAGGACCTGATTAATTATCTAATGAGTTGGTGCACAATCAATACTTTGTGTGCAATGACCTCAGAGTAATATGCACATCTGGGGATAGCATGAGATGACGGATGACATGCAAGCTAAGGAAACTTTCTAAAAAGAGAGTGGTTGACTGAATTATTGGCCTCAAATCTTTACCCCTCTCATATCCACAGCCTTTGTTGTATGTCTTTGCAGTTCCTTCCACTAGAATGGGAGTAAACCTGCCCATCTCTTGACTTTGAGGCCAGCCATGTAACTTGTTTCGGCCATTGGGATGTTACTGGCAATGCAAGAAGAGGCTTGAATATGCTTGTTTGCTGGGGTTGGTTTTCTTCTACTTCCACATCATGATGAGAAGAACATGGCCCTGATGGCCCACTGGTCCAAGGAGACCTAGACATGTGGAGGTGGCAGCCTACCTGAGTTTGAAACCAAGTCCAGCCAAATGCAGCCTAGATGAGCCAGCATCAAACACAACTTACAGATATGTAAACCAAAATCACATATTACAAACTCAGTGCTTCAAGCCACTGAGTTTTGGATTGTCTGTTACACGGAATTATTACGGCGATATTGACTGATACAGGGACTATAAGACCTTCTATGATAGCATCCTTAAGATGTTCAAATCTCCCAGACCAAGGGCCCTGCAATTAACTGGACAAACCTAAAAAGCATCCAAATAAACTCTGTAGAACTATCTGAACACCCTAATGGTGTCCTTGAATCCTCATCCCCCAAATGGGAACATAATTCCCTCAATCCAGAAAGTATTGTGGAAACAACACTAAACTGAGAGCCAGTTTCAGTACAGTCTCTTCCCTCTACTAACTCTGTGCCCTTAAATATATCATTCATATAACAGAGCCTCAGTTTCCTCATCCATAAAATAGGAATGTTAATACCTGCCTCCCTGAAGCAATTGCTGAAGCAGAGACTTCAGAACTCCAGTACTCCATATCGGCGCTAACACAGGTGTCTTCATACTTGGTGCTATAGAAAATTCCATGGTTTGGGTTACCATGTGTAAAAAGATACTGGTACCTCTTACAACAGACTCATGAGGTCTCAGGGGAAACTATATTCATACTTCAACAGCTCAATCTGGCACATAGGTGGTACCCAGCTGGGGGCTATTTAATTTGTCTTTAATAAGACCAGTTCTCCAGACCACTCCAGCTCCCTGGTCCTCAACTCTACCGGAATCATACAAAAGATACAGATGGCCCCCTTTCCTCCTAACCCTCTCCACGCCCAACTGACCTAGAAGGGCCTCTCACCCTAGGTTTGCTTGTAAAATCCATTTATGAAACCTATATTCACTCCCCAGCTCCCCGCCCACAATTCAGAAGTGAAGGAGCTTCTCTGGCTTTAAGTGTATTGCTTTTATTATGAAAACAGCTCATAAAAACAATACAACAAAAAAGAAATCAATTAGGCTTCTGGATACAGTTTTCTTATCTCTCTTTAATTGGTCCCCACCAGGATGAAAATGTCTCCTGCCCATAGCAGGATGTGTAAAGGATAGCACTTTGCACACTGCCTAGGGAATCAGAAAGCCTATTAATAAGGCAGTATTTACATGGGCTCTCCTCAACCTTATGTAGTGTGAGTGTTGTTGGTCTCATTAAAAAAAACATTAATGTTTCTGCTTCTTGTCCAAGCATGGAGCTCCTGCCCTTTCCTAGGAAACTCTATTGAAGTTTTCTACTTTGGACATAATGGCTCTACAAATGGCTGAAATTGGGAATTACAATTAAGCAAGAGAAAAAGCTCCTGGAGAAGAAATATTTTTAAAATCTGGAAGGCAGCATGTCAGTGTCACAGAGGCACTTGAGGCCTGACTCTGAGATTCAGAACCTCCACTCTTAACAAAGATACCTGTTGCTGCTGCTAATGGCCGCTCCTCACCCCCACCCAGGGAATGCTCAGGCCCACAGCCCACTCAGTTCACCTTTGGGGTCCCAGACATAGGCTTCCAGGCAAATCCTCCTGGGTCTAGCTGACTTTAAATTTCCTCCCACTCCTTGTCCATGGTGGATGCTGTCTGTTTTCCTCTGGACCATGCAGACTAAAACAATGCTAGAATGATGCTCCAAGAGCTCATTTAACCACGGGATTTTACAACCACTTGACCAGATTTGGATCCCTGGGGACCTACAAAGGTCCTTAATACCCCAAAAGCAATTTTCTTGAAGAATATGCTCTACGCCTGTTCCAAGCTGGCCAATATTTTACATGATCCTTGGAGGCTGGGGGCTCATGTTCACAGCTCCATTATTCAATTCATAATTAATGATCCACCAGAGAGTTCCTTCAAAAAGAAAATCTCTTGGCTGGGTGCACTGGCTCACACCTGTAATCTCACACTTTGGGAGGCCAAGGACGGACAGATCATCTGAGTTCAGGAGTTTGAGACCAGCCTGACCAACATGGAGAAACCCCATCTCCTCTAAAAATACAAAATTAGCTGGGCATTGCGGTTCATGCCTGAAATCCCACCTACTCGGGAGGCTGAGGCAGGAGAATCGCTTGAACCCAGGAGGCGGAGGTTGCAGTGAGCCGAGATTGTGCCACTGCACTCCAGCCTGGGGAACAGGAGCCAAACTCCTCAAAAAAAAAAAAAAAGAAAAGAAAAGAAAGAAAGAAACTAAATCTCTCCTTTCCAGCAGGTGGCAGCAAAAAAACATTCACTTGGTCAGCAGGGGCTTTGTACTCCCTTTACTCTCTACCCTGGTGACCAGAACAAACCAGAAAACAATGGGGGAATAATTACTGAATTTTCAATTATTCACACTGCCAAAGCATTGGAGAAAACTCATAGAGAGAGTGTGTTATTACTTCGGTTATTGTAGCCTTTTAAATTTTCATTACTGGTGATGTACCTGAAAAATCTCTGAATTATTTCTCAACCAGAAATAAAAACTGGAGAACATCACCTCCCGTCTTGACTCCGCTTTGCACTCTTAAAACAAGTTATCTGAACGAGGCAGATTTAAGCAACTCCTTATGACCCCTATCATTAGATCTTTTCATATGCAACTGTTTCTGCAAGGCAGTCTTGCTTTAATTAAAATGTGCCTGATATTATCTACTCAGTTCCATTAAAAGGCGGTGATACCTGAGCAGCGCACTAAGTGAACCACATGTTTATTTCATCTAGGACTGTTAACAGCCTAGACAACAATTGTCCCTCTTGACAAACTTTACATGCAGCTGTGTGGATCCTGATAAACTAATCACAAGTTAGCCTTTGTTACCTAAGAAGAGGGTGGATGGATGAGATGGAAATGGTGACACCTGGACAAAATCAAAGGGGCTGCCCCTAGAAAGCTACTGCTTATACCGTCTCCAGTTACAAGATATTTTAAGTGTACAAATTGAGAGGTAATCCCCACACCCCCCGTCTCTCTGATTCTTCTGATAATGTGTGTAGAAGAAATATGTGGCCTCTAGTGTTCAAGTAGTGCCAAGTGGCATTGAAAACCCAAGCTCCCTAGGCAACAGCCACAACCAATGTGCCAGATCTTTCCATGCTTCCCTGCCTTTGCTCAACCTGCTCCCTCTTCCTAGAATGCCTTCCCACTTTATCCACCTGGAAAACTCCCTACAAAGCCTTGAAGGCACAACTCTCAAATCCATGACCACCACTCCTCCCCAGAATTAATTCAAACTGTCCCTCCTCCATATTTCCTTAATACAAACTTATACTCCTACCTCTCCATTACCCCTCATCCATCTGTAAAATTAAAATGCCCGCCAGTTTCTACCTAGATTCCCAGCTACGCTGTAAGTTCCTAGAAGTCAAAGACTAAGTCATTTCCTCTTTGCCTAAGAAATCCTGGCACCCAGCAAGACACTGTTTGTTGAATGAATAAAAACATGAATGAATTTTCCCCTACAACCAAATTTTTACAAGATTTAAAGGGGACTGGTAGTGAAAAGAGGGGAAATATCTTGTTCTTAAAGATCCCCTCCACAAGCAATGAACCGTGAAAAATGTTCCATTCCGTGATAAGGGTACTTTAGCGACTTTTTAAAGGAGTCACGAGAACAAAGAATTTAGGCATATTCCTAAATGCACTTAGGGATGTGAACTGACTAACGGGTTGCCCCCTCCCTATCTAGTTTCGCCCTGCCTGCGGTTCCTCTTTAAGATGTCCACGAGCACCAGACCCCCGTACTCAGGGCCGGTAGCCCACGCTCTGCACTAACTAGCCTTGCCTGTCCTGATCTTCCTGGGATTCGCGCAATCCTTCAGCATGTTCTGGTTTTAAAAGATTAACCCGTCCTGATGGGCCTGAACTCAAGAAGCAACTATTCTAAGCTAGACTGAGCCTTGGCGTCTCCGCAGCCTGTGAAGCTCAGATAGAGGTAAGGAACGAAATGGGAGGTTTCTTTTGTCCCTGGAGAAATCCATATTCAACGTTCTTAAGCAGACGGAAGCCGCTGCCTGCTCAGTCCTGGGGAAGTGGGAAGGGCCCTTTCAGCTCCTAGGACGCTATGTCTTCCAGCGGGCTAACTGCCAAAGAGGGGCGCTTGGGCGCCAGCGGAGGGAACTTTTGGGCCAACCAAGGGCAGACGCCCCTCCTCAGCCCTCTCCGCTCTTTGGCCTAGAGAGAAAGCCACGCCTCGAGAGAAGGAAATAGGGGTGGCAAAGGGGGGAGAATAAAGAGAGAATGACCACACAGATTCTAGGGTGCGAAGTCGGCAGCGCGTACGGAGGATGGCCGGGTAGGACTGCAAACAGCCGACACTCCCCCCAAATGACAGGCCCTATTTTTGCTAATTTCCTACTACATCGCACCCCACCTCACCTCACCCCACCCCAGTCTCCCCGCGTCTACTACTAGCTCTTCGAAGAAAGCGGCTGGAAGCCTGTCTCCGAACCCCAGGAGACTTCTGGGCAACGGAGCTGGTGGAAGCAGAAGGAGGAAGACGCGCTGAGAGTCCTCACAACTGCGTCTCCGGAGGCAGAACCAAGTGGGGACTTCAGATAATCACGCCTCATCCTTGTTCCCCCTCCCCACCCCAACCCTGCGATTATAGCAAGAGAAAACTGGTTTGAGCTTGAGAGAATTTCCCCAGATTGTCTCCACTGCTCCATTTCCCCCAAATAACTGTTCTCCCAGCTCCTGCGAGCCAGGAGGATCGGAGAAGAATACTCCTGGAGTTCTCGGGGGTAGTCAGGAAGGGACAGGCGGAGGTCGCCGGATCCCAGGGTTCTCCCGCAGCTCTCTCCCCTCGCCGCGTCGCGCCCTCCCGGCCCGGGCCGCGCCCGCCAGCCGGAAGCGCTCCCTCTGCGGGCGCGACTCCCGCAGCTACCCCTTCCCAGCCTGGCCGGGGGCGGCGAGAGCAGTTTCCACAGCGCCTTTCAAGTTTGGGGACCTGGGGTTCGCAGGCCCGCCCTGCTGCGGGTTTCGACTCCCTGGGACCGGAAAGCTGGTTACTAGCTGCAAGAGGGTGCGCCCGCTCGGCCGCGCCCCTCACTCCAGCGTCCCCGAGGCCGCGTCCCCCGAGAAGGGGCACTCAGCGGGGACACCTTCAAGCCCGTGAGTCCCGCTTCTCACCCTGTCACTCCGAGCAGGGCAAAGAGACCCCAGGAAGGTGTCCACGCTACTGCCGTTCCCCAGACCAGCGCAGAGCTCGGCTCCAGGTCTCCCCACGCCGCTGTGCGCTCCGGGAGAAGCGGCGGGGCTCCCCCTTTTCCCGGATCCCTCTCACCGCCCCAGTACTGCTTACCTGTCCGGGCCGTGCACACACAGAACCACACAACTAAAATCACATCCATCGGCATCGCTCCCGAGGATCCCCGCCTAGCAGGGCGCACCGAAGCTAGGTGGAAACAAACGAGCCTGGATCCTGAGGCGCGCCGGGCTCGGAGCCGCCAAACTTGCTAGCGGGCGGCGGGGGAGGTGGCTACGCAGCGCCGGGTGCTGCGCTCCGGGACGCGCCCGCGAAGGCAGCCCGGCCGCCCCGCCCCCAGCCCGCCCCCCAACCGCGGGCGGCGGCCGCGAGGGGCTTGGAGCCCGGCCCCCGCTGCGGCTGTGTTCGCCTGAGAGCCGGGGCGGGAGCGCGGGCTTGGGTACTCTGGCTGCTTGCGCTCCGCACTGGGGGCCGGTTCAGTTCGCCTCCTTCGCCCGCGGAACTGCGAGGATTTGGACTGCAGGCGCGGCAGCCGCTACCAACCGTGGCACCGAAGTCGGAGTCCCGGGACCTGCGGCCGAAAGGAGGGAGCGCGAGGCGCACGGCGCCCCCCACGGCTTCACGCGCTCCGGCCCCGCCGAGCCGCCGTCGCCGCGGTTGCGGTCTCCGCTTCCGCACCGCGGTGGGGGCTGCCGAAGTTGTCACAGTTCATCCCCGCAGAGTGTAAAAGCCGCCGAGCCCTTGCGGGTGGGTAATTTTCCTCAGGGGAACCCAGACGGAGGCGGCGCCACCGAGCGCGCACGGCCCCCCTCGGAAAACAATTACTCGGGATTCGCTCTGTCGGCTGGGTGGGGAGGGACCTGAGGGGGATGATGGCTGAATTCCCGCTCACCACCTGTACCTTCTGTCTCCGCTCTCCTGGTGAACCCCTATGACTAAGTACCCTATTTGGGGGTGCAGGAAGAGGGTGCTGAAGTGGGGGTGCAGAAAAGGGGTTCTTTAGGCAGAGCGAGCTGTGGTTGGGGTTTGGGAAGCCTATTTGCAAACCTCATTCTGCAGGGCAGATGCTGCCACATAGGGGTAATTCCTAACCATCTTTTTATTTTTTCTTGCTTGATTTTCTTAATGGTATTATCAAAAGCCCACTCATCTTTCATAGTCACATTTTGGTCTCATTTGCAATTTCTCCGGGACCTCCACCTTCTTTTCCCTCCCCCACCACCACACCATTCTCTGGAGAGAAAAGCTGGGCTTTGTTTCTACTTGTGGGCAGGAAGAGAATGCGTCCTCTCCCCTCTAAGCGACCGTTTCAGGGCCTGACCTTCCCTATGAGGATCCCCCAGGTTTGAGACTTCTGTCCCACTTCCTATTTGTCCCAGTAACATCTAGGAATGTTATTTTTAACTGGATATGTAAAGTCATTAAATCTGAAATGACAGCCTCTGATTTATGCCAAACATAATTAAAAGCCCCACATAATTTAAAGTTACCCAGCTTGCTCAGTCTTCCCAGTCTCTCTGAACCCCTGCCCCACCTCACCACCACTATCCCTTTGGTATTCACAACAGGGATCGCAGAGGAGTCCGAGGAAACCTCAGAAAAGCCCTCCCTCATTTCCTGGAGACCGATTCCAACGTTTCAGAATCCTCTTCACTAATAAAAATGTGCCTTTCTCACTTCTTGCACCCACTTTCACTTCGTATATCCTTAACCCCTACACAACTTTGACCCCAGTACTCCAGGGAAGTTCACAAAATTAGCAACGCAGCTTATAAAGAGAGAAGGTTTCGCTAACATGCTCTTGTGGTCTCTGCCCTATTTTTCTGGATATTTCTGTGTGCAAGCCACTGTCCCACTTGGCTCTTTATGTTGTGGTCCTTTGGCAGATGAAAAAGTGAACAAGCAGGTAAATTCCAACTCAAGAAGTCTGCCGTGCAATCCAGAAGCTGAGCTGAATGATTAAGAGGTAAACTTATGTCAGCTGACTCCAACTCAGATTCAACTAAGGCCCGAAGGAAATCTGTTTGCTTGACTCTTTATTTTCGTTAATGGAGTCCACATGTTTTTTCTTCCACCTGGAGCGTGTTGCATTTAAAGCTAACATTAAAATGACACATCTTGAAGAAAATAGGATTTCCCAAGACTTTTTGGCTTTTGTGGACAAGGACACCATATTTCATGTTGTAAGGAGCCATTTCCTGTCTCTCCTTTGCATTCTTTAAGTACACCTTAGCAGGAACAGCCTTTAGTGCTTTGGACTGTTGTTTCCAAGGCCCTTTTATTGATTTCAGAAAGCCCAGAATCCTTAAAAGTACAGTGACCCCAGCAAGGGGAAAAGGTGGTATGGGTAAGATCTTTAGAGCTCTCTATCTTTAAAGTCTTTGTGTAATTAATTAGCTGGTCCTTTGGGATAGGACTTTTAGCTTGTTCCATTAAAAAATAAGGCAAGACATATATTCTGTCATAGCTTTGCAGCATAACATCCATTAACAGTAACAAGAGTTCATCTCAACAAGGTCATGAAGCTTTCCTAGATAGCTAAGCACTGCAATCTCCTCCTATAAGTACAATCCTTAAGTGAGGGATTTTGAGTGTGTAGGCCTGTTAATCTAAGGTTACCTTCATAGAATGGGCCCACCAAGTTTCTGTAGTGACAATGAAGGTACACACAGCTATGTATATACTTGATGGTGGGATGTTACAGTGAGACCTGTGCTCAGTGGAAGCCCCATTGAAACATCTTACCTGATACCAAATTCCACGTCCTCCCTCTCCTTCAGTATGGCCTCTTCTTCCTGACCTCTAAGTATTGGAGAGCCCCAGGACTCACTCCTCAGCCCTTCCCTTCCAGCCACACTCCTTCCTCCCTCCCTGTTAAGCTCATCCCACCTCATGGATTTAAATAATATCTATACATGGATGACTCTCAAATATGCATCTCTATCCCCAGCCTCTATTTTGAACCCCAGGCTTACATATCTACCTGCCTATTAGACATCTTGACTATAATATGGTCACATCATCAAAACTAAAAACATTTGTACTTCAAAGGACACCATCAATGAAGTAAAAAGACAATGCGTGAAATGAAAAAGTATTTTTGTAAGACATCTGATTGGAACTTGTATCTACTAAAAAACTATTACAGCTAAATAATACAAGACAATAAAAGGCCCAGTAAATGGGCAAAGGATCTGAATAGATATTACCCCAAGGTATATATACAAGTGGCCAATAAACACGAGAAAATGTTCAACATCATTAGCCATCTGGAAAATGTAAAACTACAGTGAGATACCACTTCACACCCACTAGGATGGCTAGAATAAAATAGATAATAAATGTTGGTGAGGATATGGAGAAATTGGAACTCTCACATACTGCTAGTTAGACTGTAAAATGTCCTTTAAAGAGTTAAACGTAGAGTTGCTGTATGATACAGCAATTCTATCCCTAGATATTCACAGAAGGTAAATGAAAACATATGTCTATACACTAATTTGTACATAAATGTTTAGAGCATTATTCAAAATAGCCAAAAAGTAGAAACCAAATGTCCATTGACAAATAAGTGGATAAATAAAATGTGGTATGCCTATATAATGGAACATTATTTAGCAATAAAAAGAAATGAAGCATTCACATACTACAACATTGACAAACCTTGAAAATATCATGCTAAATGAAAGAAGTCTGTCACAAAGGACCATATATTATACAATTTCATTTCTATGAAAAGTTAGGAATAGGCAAATCTGTAGAGACAAAACATCTGATTAGTGGTTGTTTAGGGCTTGGGGTTAGGGAGGGAGTATTGGGGGTAATGGCTAAAAATGCAGGGGCTATTTTTGGGGTAATGTAAAGGCTCTAAATTTGATTGTGGTGATGGATGTAAAACTCTCACAGATATTCACAATGTAGTAAAAACCATTGAATTGTATACTTTAAATGGGTGGATTGTATGGCATGTGAATTATATCACAAAGCTTTTTAAAAAAATATTTTAATGATCCTGACAAATTGCTATATGGCCAAATGAGGACTTTTGAAATTTCCCTTCTCTTAAATTTCTCACTGCTGACTTCCAAGGACATGACATGAGCCTTCACCAGGTGCTCCAACTAAATAACTCAGGGTCATCCTTGACTTGCCCTGTGCCCCCACACACAAAGCATCAAGCCCTGTCAGTATACGTTAAAGAAATAATCCCAAATCAAATTTCCCTTCTCACCAGGTCTCCTTCTCCCACCTTCCTCCAACCCATCGTTATCTCTTCCATAAGCTACAGCTGTAGTCTCAGTGCTGCTCTCTGCCTCTGTTCTTTGCCTGTGTGATTCAGTCACCCCTGCCTTCAGTAGTCATAGTCTGTGTTGTGTAATATGTATCAGATCACACTTTCTTGCTTAAAATTCCTCTTGGAGTTTTCCATCATATTTTAGAAAAATCCAAATATCTTATATCATCCCTGCTTCTCTTCACAGGTCCTTCTCTCCCCTTTCTGCCCCTCACTCACTCCAGGTGGGCTTTTTTGTTCCGTAAACATTCCAAGTTCATACCATTCTCATGGTCTATGCACTTGCTGTCCCCTCTATCTGGAAGGTTAACTTTGAACATGACTCAAATCTAGTCTCACATGTCAGCCCTTTGAGGAGACCTTGCCTAAAAAATCTGCTTCTCACTTTACTCCCAACATTCTCTGCCTTCTTACCATGCTTTATTTTTTAGAGTGCTCATTATTTTCTAAAATAATATGATTTATATGTTTTAGATATTTTTAGAATGCTTGTATGCTTGTGTGAAATATGATTTATGTTATCATATTGTCTAAAATAACGTGATTTATATACTTACTCGTTCTCTGTCTCCTCCAATATAATGCAAGCTTCTTAAGAATAGGAATTTTGTCTTTCTTGTTCACCAATGTATTTTTCCACCTAGAAGAGTGCCTGGCACATTTTAGGAGCTCATTAAATGTCACTGAATGAATGAATCAATGGATGTTCTGCCAGGAAGCAGCATGGACAATGAACACTTCTCCTTGGCTTTCACCATGGCACCAGTCAGAAGACCTTGTCTCTCTGTCCCCCGTAGTTTCTCCGTTGATGACTCTATGTGGGGCAGCAGATCCCATAGAGGAAGAGTAGGAAGGACTCCTTTTGAAATGTGCAAACTAAAAGCAGTTCCAAGCACGAGAAACCATCTATTGTATTTATTGCCTTACAAATTCCTCTCCTGAAGCCACTCTTCTTTGTCCACACAGTCTATCTTCACAACTACCTTCACATTGTGGACACTTAACAAGTTTCCTTGTAAAACAAGAGAA